CTTTCTCGTTCCTTTCGTTCTCTTTCACGATCTCTGTCCCTCTCCTTATCTCTCTCCTTGTCCCTCTCCCTATCTCTATCTCTCTCCCTCTCTCTGTCTTTGCCTCTGTCTTTCTCAACGTCTCTGTCCCTTTCCCTTTCTTTCTTCCTCTCTCTGTCTTTCTCCTTTTCTCTGTCTTTGGCTCTGTCCTTCTCCCCGTCCCTTTCTCTGTCCCTTTCTCTTTCACGATCTCTGTCTCTATCTCTGTCTCGATCCCTGTCTCTATCCCTGTCTCGGTCCCTGTCTCTATCCCTGTCTCGGTCCCTGTCTCTATCTCGGTCCCTGTCCTTATCTCTGTCTTTTTCTTTATCTTTGCTTTTATCTTTATCTTTTTCTCTGTCCTTGTCCTTTTCTTTGTCTTTGTCTTTGTCCTTATCTTTGTCTCGGTCCCTGTCTCTATCTCTATCTCTGTCGCGTTCGCGTTCGCGTTCTCTGTCTCTGCCACGATCTCGGTATCGATCAGCTGTAGGGAAACAAATCGTGAGCAATTGAATAAATGGTTTGAAAATAAAGCAATAAACCAGTTAAACGAATACAACCTCTATCTCGATCCCTTGACCGAGAGTGCGACCGTCGACGTCGATAATGCGCATCTGTAAAATTCATTAAACCAACATTGTGCTCAGTCTCTAACGCCTTTTTCACCTTTGGCTATAACAACGTTCATGAAGTATTGTTCTCTAATGCTGTAATCTCTTCTCAAGTAAAACTTCTTCCTTCCCTCTTACCTCTATCCCTAGATGGTGACAACGATGATGGCGTTCTTGATCTTCTCTTCCGCGCTCTGTTCATGCTGGCAGACCTCGATCCACTCCTAGATCGTGATCGACTCCTTCTAGTCCGCGATTCATCTGGGGTCGGGGATTGTACAGCGTCTCGCATAATTATATCTTCGCGGCTTGTAGAACTATGTGGACTTTTATCAGAAAGCGATTCATTAGTGTTGAGCCGACTAGCAATACGCATTTGTGCTTCGCGAACGCGACGCATAGTCGCTTGCACGTCTGGAGCATCAGTTTTCTTGGGCGTTTTATTTATCGCGTTTTTTGAATGGTTTACTCTGTTGGAAGATGGAGGTTGGATCTCAGTTAAAGAAAAATCAGACGGTCCATAAAAAATTACAAGACATAACAGTCAAGTCGTGGATTATGAGGAACTAAACCTCGGATAATCTTATTCTCTCTCATTTTGATATTGAATATCTTACTTTAGTGGACGATCACCCAACATGACTCCATTCATCTGCATAGCAGCCTGTGCGCCTTCAAAGGTTGCAAATTCCAAAAACGCAAACCTAGTTGGCTGTGCAGGATCTCCAGCCATCTTAACGTATGCTACTGGTCCACAAGTTGAAAAGAACTCTGTCAATTCTGGTTCAGAAATCGATGAATTGATATTTCCAATGTACACTGTTCTCGAAATCTCTTCTGCTTTTGCCGGATCGAATTGGGCAACTGTGGGAGAGATTGCTGGATTGGCACGAATTGCTGCTAGTGACGTTGCCGAGATTGAGGGAAGGGGAGCGACAGGAAGAGTTTTTGGAGTAGCAGGCAACGCGGTGCGCTGAACTTGGGGGCGAGTAGTGAGAAGGATTGGGTGTGTGGGCTGAGAATAGTCGTTCAAATTTGACGGGGCAGTTGTTGAAGAGACAACCAACGTACGATCGCCGAGCTCTACGCCTGTTAAATGCAGAGCCGTTACGGCAGCTTCGGACGTTTCAAACTCAACGATACATTCTTGCACGCCATCTCCATGTGGACTAGCCATGTTGGAAGAGGAGTGTTAGTTCATTGAGAAGGTTGAAGCAATATACAATTCAAAACTCGCGTTTGATGAACAACCTATTGTATAGCTTTAATATTGAGACTTCCCCCAAAAATTCGAACATCTGCCTTAGTATAGGCTCCGTCACTTTCGACGATATATTTGCAACCTAACAGCGGTAGTTTAGAGGGTGTTTTCTTAGAACCAAGATCAAATTAATGCTTTCTCTCCGACTTTTATCAGTTCATACATACTTTGACAACATTATCTACTGACATTTCCGCACGCTTGCATTTCTCCACAGTCGTTCGCAGCAAAGTTTTTAGACCGAGGAGTGATCAGCGTTTGCCAGATTCGGAAGCAAAGGCACCAAAAATTTGGTAACCACATGACAAATAACAGGCACATTCTAATTCATTTATTACTACAAGCGGAAACTATTGATAATTTACTTTATGTTTGTATAGGGCCGGAGAAGTGCAGAAGGTTTCAAAGGGCAGTTGGTTCATACATCATATAGTAGCCGTTTACGTCACAGAATCAATTAAAAATCGTTTTATCGGAACGCGTTATTTAACAATTGCATCATCGAATACGGTAGATGAATAACTTTGAATCCCTCCCAACCGTGTCAGTGGCCTACATCAGTGATATATAAAATTGAAGCATTCTACGTATGTAGTCTAAATAATTCACGCTTTTCTCAAAAACTACGGCCGATAACCAACAATAATAATTAACTCAATTATGGTTTACAGCGTCATACAATATATCACAGGTACGTTTATTATAAGGAAAGTCACCGCGGTTCCGGAAGAATGACTATCAAGTCAATCCTTTTCGCTGATTTAATCGCTTCTTACTCTAGCGTCTCGTAACAGTAGGCATTTCTATTCGCACACAGGAATAGAACTGTTGTGAAAGACAACTAACAATTGATTACAATCGAAGAGCATGTCTCTGCATTCTACTCTGCCGAGTTTATCGATAATAGCACGAATAGATTAATGTAATAGATTTTGCATGAAACTTTTAAATGCAAGTTGAGCAGACTTATTTGACTTTTTAATATAACATATGGTTTATTACATATTTGCTGTACGCTATTGTATTACGTTAATAATTTTGATACCTCTTTTTTCTTTCAACTAATTTAATAAATTATTGTTATCATTGTTATTAATTTACTTTATTTTGTCAGCGGGTATTAACGTTTTTACTAATTAATACAAAAATAATAAGAAGAATTAAACAATTGAATTAAATTAATTAATCATCGATTCTGTTATGAATTGACAAACCGTTATCCGATAAGCAGCAAGGTTACGTAGCAAAACTGCGCGTCTTGAATAAAATTTTAACAATACCAAAATTAGTTATTTACCTCCGTGTGGCCTTATTATTTTCATTTTCTATTCTGTCTTACATACGTGTAATTAAGCTGTTTGATACTTGGTACATTGTAGTTTTATCGGAATTCATATTTCCTAATCATTGCCTCGGTAGCGCAACGCGCAAAAACGCATCAATTGTCCGTGTTGGCAAATACAACTTCCTAATTAATTGTTTACAACTTTAATATTGTAACGTACCTACAAAGTGATCGTGTCAATAGAGATGGAGGCATACATAGCAAATTAGTTAGTTAACGCAAATACTGTATGAATCGTGAATATTGAACTCAGTTAACAAGTCACTAACTTCGTAACCCGAGTAGAGAACTGTGTTAGATTTAGTAGATTTACAGTATATTAAATGGAAGCTCTTTATTTAACGCAATCGTTTTTCTGACACATCATCATACCTCATTTAATCGATAATTTCAGTAGAACATGCTCATATAATAAAAATTTTTTGTTTGAGCAAGCATCATGATCTCAGCTGATAAAAAATTAAAAACATTATGTTGATTATGGAATTATTATGCATTTTGTTTATATGGATAAATAATATTACCAATTTTACAGAACTTTTGTCGATAAATTAGCAAGTTCCCAAATTATTAAGCAGTCAAGCAAAATTTCTATATCGCGGTAATGATTGAAATTGGAAAAGAAAATTCTCTCTACTTCAATCCCAGTATTATCTATCAGTATTTAATTGTTTAAGCTTACGGCGACGAGTTCTGAATCGCAAATTCTGTCATTATATCGTTTGCCACTAGCAGACCCTTGATAGATGCGATGGTCACTTCATGACTAGAATTCCTATTATTAGTCCATCAGAGAGAATGAGCGATGATGTTGTGGGGGTTTGAACCCTGTTAGAATAAGAGAGCCTGGAGATGCGATAAAAAGCAGATTCCATACCTGACACTCTTGTAAGAATAAAACCTTAGTTCATCCACTGCTTATCGACGGTATTATAAATCAATCCATCACATCCCTCGGAGATTTATAGCCGCTACTTTCCATAATGACAGCACAGCCTTCACCAATGCAAGTTTGCAACAACGGTAATAAAGTTGCCATACAAGAGTGTGCCAACCACAAATGCCAACATCATTATTCTTTGGGTTAAGATCTTTTTCAATAATGTGTTCGATATCGCGGATCGAAGAAGTATTCTCGATCGGATACATCCAAATCAACCATCTGCTGCTTAGACTGATCATATTAACAAATTGCTTTACGCATTCGGGGGCAAACAAAGCAAGGAAATCGTACATACTAGTTGAAGGGCGAACGCATTCCCACTTTCGGCATTTCAATTATCGATAATTCCCCCTTCTCCTGTTATGCCTAATCCCCATGTGACCGTACACTTTTAACCCGACAGTGTTCTGTATAAAGCAATTCTCGGGCTTTGAATCCAGTAGAATAATAAATAAGCCAAATTCATAAAGATCGACAAAAGAAATACCACGATGGTCGACGCGAATGGTTACTCTAGTATCAAAGCTCATCCAAAATTAAGCCAATATCCCGACATCTGAACCATTTGTTCAGTCTCCAAACTTACCTTCTGTACTTCTACATAGAAACTTAGCACTATCTGAAATTGCACTCGTCCTCTATTTTCCGATCCAACATTGCTAGCATACATTGCTCAAGTTATATGTCATCTATTG